CCATGAAGAACAATAGAAGAAATATTTAACATTGTTTTTTTCTAATATATCCATGTCAGAAAATGAGTCTGCAGATTTCCATGTCTCCTTAATAAGAGATCCATCTTCCTAAGAAATCCTTACAGGAGGAGGAGGAAGAAAAGCTAGATACTCAGAAGTATATAAAAGTGTATATATGTTTTTAAAAGTGTGATCTTGAAATATATGAAGATAAATAGTAAAATGAAAATATTTAAGTGTGTGTATATATAGCATATATACATATATATAATGTATATATAAACTTTATTTTCAAAAACCATGGGTGATATCACTTCAAGTATGGGAATATTTCTTTAATGAGCTGTGTTAGACTTCACTTGCTGCAAAAAGCAATACATTTATGGTTAAATCTAAAGATACAAAGCTGCCTGCAATACCCAGATTTCATTTTTAGGGACTTGATAAAATTGAAGTTTTTTATTCCAGTTGATTACCTAGCACCATCTTGTGGCTGAAGAATTATTTTTTATTCTCTCTGTGCACTACAAATCTTTACTGGTTATATTAAGATTTGGGTGCCACCTGCTGGACCTTTCTAAGAAATGAATGCATAGCAAATATTCTTGAAATGTGAAAAATCAATTTACATTTCAGGAACAAGGTTTCTAATCACTTTGGGAAACAAGATAATATTTCTAAATAAGCTGAACCTTTTTTCTAAGAATTATTGTAAATGATTTACATATAATAGTGTAAAAAATATGTATCCTATTGGTTCTTATGGAAAAATAGGCCATCTGGCCTGTTGGGAGACTTAATCATATAGCTTTAATCATACAACCTTTTCTGAGTGTGTGTCCAGGCCACAGGGCCTGGGCATTGTGTCTGCTGAGATTTATTTGCTCAAGGTAGGTGCTCTACCACGTGAGCAACACTTTCACTTGTAGTTTTCTAATGGTTAATTGAAGCATTTCATGGACTTTGCTGTCTGAGCTCGCTTCCAATACAATCTTCAGATGTTTCCTGAGAAGCTAGGATTTTAGGTATGAGCCACCAGCATCTTAGTTAAAGACATTTCCTTAAGTAGCAAAGGTCTATCTGTATGCAAAATAAGTGAGACTCTATCTCAAAACAAAGACAAGATGCATGGGGTGTTGATGAAGTGGTAGAGTATTTACCTGGCTTATACAAAGCCCTGGATTCAATACCTACCAGTGATGAAGTTTCCAAAGAACAGATCACTCAGAGAAAAGGATGGAAGACGTTTGAAAATGTTTTGCACTATTATTTGCCTGAGTGTGTAAGTCCATGTGTGAGTCTACTAGCTTTGTAAGCCAATAGGAAGATAAGATTGTTTCCAGTAAGCCATTTTGCCTACAATCCTTTCAACCATTTTTAATTGAAATGTTGTATAAGAAATTAAAACAATCCCAGTAAGAGAGAAAGTGATTATGCAAGTGCAAATATCCCCAAAGACTTCAATCATCCTGACTACTTACATTTTTAGAGGTATAAGTAAAATAGCCAAACATCTATGCTTTTTGCTTAAAATTTTTTTTATGTCAGTCATGGGGCTTGAACTCTGGGCTTGGGCACAGTCCTTATGCTCTTCAGTTCAAGGCAAGCACTCTACCACTTAAGCCACAGTGCTACTTCTGGCTTTCTAGTGGTTTATTGGCGATAAGAGTCTCACAGACTTTTCCTACCCTGGCTGGCTTTGAACCGCAATTCTCAGATCTCAGCTTCCTGAGTAGCTAGGATCACAGGTGTGAGCTACCTGCTTCTGGGATTGCTTTTTAACTGAACTTTTGTTATACATTGCAGAAAGGGGTTACCATTCAACAAACCAATCTACAAGAACAATTATTCTTGGCTGACATCATCCCTTTCATTAATCTCCTCTTTCTCCCCCATATTAACTCCTCTCAATTTTCCTAGATTCATAGGAAAAAAAATAATTTCTAGAACTTCTAGTGGTGGTGATGTTCCCCAAGAAATAATTGCTCAGTTCCTTTAAGTTATATTTTTGCTTGTCCAACTAGCTGACCAGTATTCAAAGCAAATAGCTAATAAGTCTATTTGCAACTAGTGTGTTTTCAAAAAAAAAAAAAACTTTTTCACAACAAAATGGTTCACAACAGAATTTTTTAGGATTTAATTTTTTTTTTTGCGGGGGGGTCCGGTCATGGGGCCCAAACTCTGGGCCTGGGCGCTGTCCCTCCGCTCTTCAGCTCAAGGCTAGCGCTCTACCACTTGAGCCACAGCACAACTTCTGGCTTTTTTCATTTTGCTTATGTGGTGCTGAGGAATCAAACCCAGGGCCTCAGGCATGCAAGGCAAGCACTCTACCACTGAGCCACCTTCCCAGCCCCTGGTTCACAACAGAATGAAGCAACTACGGTGGGTTATCTAGGTGGTCCCTACACGCCATCCTAATTGTCTTTATAAGTAGATACAGACAGATTAGATACACTCAGAAAACCACACAATTCCAGCTTTCCATCTTTACTATCTTTCTCTTCCTGTTCTCCACAGCATCATTTCTTAATGCATCTAACTCAGACTCCTTGGCTGGTTTACCATTTCTGTCTGTGGTGTGAGTTCTAAATTCTGTCAACTTCTTTTTCTTCTCTCACAGCTTCTAGCTGGATTAATCCAACTTTACCTTCTTCCCAGTGGAGGGGGGTGGGTATAAGCCTGGTGTGGGAGGTAGGAACTGAGGAGGGCTGAACTTGATTGCCTCTGTTTGGGTTCTAAGCACTACTTACATGATGCATTGCTGCACCTGTCTTTATTATTTTTTCTAAGTGTCTTCTTTTTTTTATTGTGAAAATACCATACAGAGGGGTTACAATTACATGGCCAAGGTAATGAGTATATTTCTTACCAAGCATGGTTGCCTCCTCCTTTGTTTCCCCTTCCCATCGCTTCCCATCTCTCCCCCTCCCCCTTCCCTCCCACCCATTGCCAAAGTTGGAAAGTTCATTTTTTGACATAACATCTTGTACATCTTATTGTTGCATTGGGTCCACCTGTATCCCTATTTAAACAAGTTGCTTTTTCCCTTCCTCTCCCCAAATTGTGCCAACATCAAATACAGTGAAAACAGGGGTTGTACCATGGGGGAGGGACATACTAAGCAACAAAGAAATCATCTTATAAATATGTTAGAAACAATCGCAAGAAAGAAAAAATCATTTGAGTCCTAATTATGGGGTTCATTTCACCTAACATCATCTGACCTTGTCTGCTTGTCTCAGACATATACTAGTAATTGCAAATAAGAGAAACCATGGGACCTATGTTTCTTTGGGCTTGGCTTACTTCACTTAATATAATTTTTTCCAAGTCTTTCCATTTCCTAACAAATGGGCAATGTCATTCTTTCTGATGGAGGCATAGAATTCCATTGTGTATATATATATATATATATATATATATATATATATACCACATTTTCTTGATCCATTCATCTACTGAGAGGCATCTGGGTTGGTTCCATATCTTAGCTATAGTAAATAATGCTGCAATAAACATAGTTGTGCTGGTAGCTTTAGTATGGTCTTGTTTGTGATCATTTGGGTAAATGCCCAAAAGTGGGATTGTTGAGTCATAGGGGAGCTCTATGTGGACTCTTCTAAGGAACCTCCACACTACTTTCCAAAGTGGTTGAACAAGTTTACAGTCCCACCAACAATGCAGTAAGGTTCCTTTCTGTCCACATCCCCTCCAGCATCTGTTGTTATTAGAGTTCTTGATTGTAGCCATTCTAACTGGGGTGAGGTGGTATCTCAATGCTGTTTTAATTTCCATTTCTTTTATGGCTAGGGAGGTTGAACATTTCTTCATGTGTCTATTGGCCATCCTTCTTTCCTCTTCAGAGAAGTTTCTCTTTAAGTCTTTAGCCCCCTTATTTATTGGGCTGTTGTTTCTTTGAGGATTTGTTGTTGGGGGATTTAATTTTTTGAGTTCCAGGTATATTTTAGATATGAGACCCTTGTCTGGTGTATGGCTAGTGAAGATCTTCTCCCAATCCGTGGGATTTATATTGATCTTGCTAGCTATGTCCTTTGCCATGCAGGAGCTCTGCAATTCCATGAAATCCCATTTGTCCAATCTTTCTTTGATTTGTTGTGTTTCTGGGTCTCTATTAAGAAAATTTCGGCCTGTGCCAAGGAGACCTAGGGTTTTTCCTATTCCATCCTGTAATGTTTTCAGAGTGTCTGCTTTGATTCCGAGATCTTTGATCCATTTGGAGTTGATTCTGGTACTGGGTGTTATATAAGGATCTAGCTTTAGTTTTCTGTCAGCACCATTTACTGACGAGGCTGTCTTTCTTCAGTATTCACCCCAAACTTTCTGTGCTCTGTGGAAATCTCCAATTCCACAGCTTTTAGTCCTTCACCCACTGATGGTGGGACATACAGATGGAACTTAATTATGCCCAACACTGTTGAACAATTCCTTACATGACTCAAGAAAATAACTGGATTCTTAACATCTTAGAAAGAAGATACCATCATAATTAACAACTACCTGAAGGTAATATAGTTACAAAAAAAAGTGAGCTAGATTTTAAATCCAGAAGGTCTGCTCCCAAGCATGCTTTCTGGATTGCAGTGCCATACACTGCTCTTGAAGCGCACCCTGGCACCACCGTTCAAATGAAAAACACTCACATCCCTCCCCTCCCCATGTTCCAAACATCTCTATTTGTTTCCGTGTTATCTCCCTCCAGGAGCCTCCTCTGAGGCCTCACAGCACAGACCTCCCCTTGTCAACAAACCTTTCCTGTCTCTTTCTGTCCAGGAAATGATAATAAGGGAGTGTACATAATCCTAAAACATTTGGAACCACTAAGGGCTTTAGGGTCCTGGCCTTGAGACTGAAGAAATGGGTGGGGCTCATTCTGTAAGAATAAGAGAATTATGATGTTACAGGGTGGGGCCTGGCTTGAAAGCTTGGAGGGGCCCGGGTGGCTGGCAGTGGGCACCGGGGGCCTCTTCAGGCTCTACAGGATGTGTCTACGTTTCAGGGACGACGATCCGACCCAAGTCTACCCTGTGAGTTCTCCCAGGACCTTAATACTGTTTAAGAGACCTGTGCTCCAGATTTTGCCCTCCAAGCCTAGTTGGCCAATCCCACATCCATTATTGCTGCTGGGCACATCCTGGAGGACGTGCACAGCACTAGAGTTACTAGGAGTCAAGCGAGTTTGTCCTAGTCAAAGACATTGACCTGCGCTAGAGTGCGGTGTTGGAATTACAGATGTGGGCCGGGGGGGGGGGGGGGGGGGGGGAAGGGGGGAGAGGGAGGGGTCGTGTTGTCAAGAGTGAGATGCAGAGATTACTTTGGAGGTTAAAAACCTGCATGAAAATGAGAAGGGGGTGTTATTAAAGAGTTTGAGCCGGGCGCGGGTGGTTCACGCCTGTAATCCTAGCTACTCAGGAGGATGAGATCTGAGGATCGCAGTTCAAAGCCAGCTCGGGCCGGAAAGTCTGTGAGACTCTTATCTCCAATAAAAACCACTAGAAAACCAGAAGTGGCGCTGTGGCTGAAGCGGTAGAGCACTTGCCTTGAGAGCACAGGGACAGCGCCCAGGCCCAGAGTTAGAGTCAGTTTGAAACTTAACGGAAAGAGGGGAACATAGTAAATGAACAACCAAGCTCCTTTTCCTCTATCACCTCCAATACCTCAGGTTACTCAGGCTTTACTCAGGTTTACTCAGCTAGGTTCAATCCAAGATACCCAAGCCGGAAGCACCCTGGTACCACTAACGACATACCAACAATTGTGAATTTTACCAAGGACATTGTTCTGCCGGGCAGACTCATACTGTCATCCTAAGTACTCAGGAGGCTGAGATCTGAGGATCATGGTTTGAAGCCAGCCTGGAGAGGAAAAACTATGAGACTTTAGATAGATAGATAGATAGATAGATAGATAGATAGATAGATAGATAGATAGATAGATAGATAGATAGATAGATAGACAAAACTATGAGACTTTATATATATATATACACACACATATATGTGTACATATATACATATATATGTATATATATGTTTTTATTGTAAAAATACAGAGGGGTTACAGTTACATAAGTAAGATAATGAGTACATTTCCTATCGAGCAATGCTACCTCCTCCTTTGATTTTCCCCTACCATCCCTTCCCTCCTGCTTCCCCAATCCACCCCCCAGGAGTGAAGTTCATTTTCAAAATAGTGTCTTGTACATCTCATTGTTACAATGGGTCAGCCTGTATCATTCTTTCAGCATTTTGGTATTTCCCTTCCCCTCCCCAAATTAGAAAAATGTATATACAAGATTCAGGGCACCACAGGGGAAGAACATACAAAAGAAATTTTAAAAATCACATAGTACATTATAAATACATTTAAAAAATAGCAAGAAAGAAAAACCCACTTGTGTCCCTATCTTGGGCTTAACATCATCTTATATGGTCAAATGTACATAGTTTTTTTCCTTTAATGCTTTATTTCCAAGAAACCACCACAAGACTAGCATTGGTTCTGTGGCTTACGTAGTAGAACACTAGACTTTAGCAAAAACAAATCTCAGGAACAGTACGAAGGCCCTGAGTTCAAGCCCCAGAAATGGCACACACATACACACACACACACACACAAATAAATCTTGTTCTCTCTCTCCTGTAAAATATTTCACAACTGAGTCTTTTTCCTCATAATATTGTTTCCATCTTCTTTTTATTTAACATTGGCTTCTTATTATTTTGCCTTTGTAGCTGATATTCATAATCCTGTATTTATCAATAAAATTAGTTAAGCTAAGTGCTGGTGGCTCACTCCTGTAATCCTAGCTACCAAGGAAGCTGCAAACTGAGGGTTAGTGCTTCAAATCTAGTCTCAGAAGGGAAGTATTTGAGACTCCTATCTCCAATTAGCCACCAGAAAGCCAGAAGCAGAACTGTGGCCCTAGTAATAGAGCACCAGCCTTGAGTAAAATAGGTAAGAGACAATGTCCAGGCCCTGAGTTCAAGCAAGCCCTTGTATTAGAATAGAAATGTATATACATTTACATATATATGTAAATGATATGTAAATGTATATACATTTCTATTCTAATATACATATTCTATTCTAATATACATATATGTACATATATGTATATGTATATAGGTTTTCTGTTCTAGTACTGCTTTCTCTTGACTTTCATGTGTAGTCATGTGTGTTTTAATTTTACCTGTTATGCAGGAAGGGCCAAGAATTCATCACCCTTCAGACGTCACTACCAGGCAGGCAAGTAATGTTTAAATACATTCTGGCTGTTTTGTCAATGTGACTTTTTTTTAGCTTATGCTTTTATGAGTGGTGATCCCTACCATTATATAAGCAGGTGTTCTACCACTTGAAACATGCCTGCAGTCCAAGATTGTTCTTAACTAGATACTTTTGCAGTATCTTTCTTGGGACCCTTGTCAATCTTGTGACTACCATGGAAATTTGCTTTAAATAGGGTATACTGAATATCTTATTTGTAGTTTTTAAATATAGCCTAATATATTTATAAAAATGTGACCATGCATAATTTGTAAGATGTTGTAATAAAATATACCCACAACTTAAGAGTGAATATATGATGAGTCCTTGTGAGATCTCTGCATTTCATCTCCCTGCATCTCTCCTACAGGTAACTTCTATATTGATTTTATTTTCACCACTCTATTCTTTTGAGTTTTTTCTCAGATATTTGCCATTATAAGGATATTATTGCACTTTCACTATATTTTGAATTTGACTGATGTAATCTCACACCTAATTTAGCATACTATTTAACTTCTTTTCAACATTGTTTCCTAAGATTATTCCATATTACTCTTATGGACTTGTGTTCCTTTATTTTCATTGCTCTTTAATATTTCAAGTGGAACAGGTCATTAATTCTTTTGTTCTGGAGACCAGATATTACCTTGTTTTGATTTTAAGAAAAGGGATAATATCAGCATTCTATTACATCTTATTTTTCATGAACAAGAGGCTTAACTCACCATTTAGGAGGGGAATGACTGGGTCATGGGGTAAATGAACATTTCATGTGTTTTAAAGCAATACCACATTCATTATTAATGAAGTTGTACTAATTTATATGCATAATGGCAGTTAATACAAGAGTTGTCATTATTCATCTTCACTCTCCTCTAATCATGTATTCTGATATCTTCAAAGCATTCTAGCTAATGTGCCATACAATGTCAACACAGAAATCTGAGTGGGAAATGTAGCATGTAAGAATAAGAACTATGTTTTCTCATTTCTATAAAGAAATTGTGTCCCATGTCCTTAATGCACATTACGTTTACAATAAAATTAAACACACATATCCATGCCAGGGACTAAAAATGTGTGCAGTGGTGATGCAGGACTCAAGAACAAATGTTCTCTGGGTGCTGGTGGCTCACGCCTGTAATCCTAGCTATTCAGAAGTTTAAGATCTGAGGATTGTGGTTCAAAGCCAGTCCAGGCAAGAAAGTCTGTGAAAACCTTATCTCCAACAAACCACCAAAACACTGGAAGTGGAGCTGTGGCTCAAGTGGTACTACAGTGCTACCTTTCTTGAGGTGAAGAGCTCAGGTACAGTGCCCAGGCCCAGAGTGCAAGCCCCACAACAGACCAAATATATATATATATATATATATATATATATATATATATATATATATATATATATATACTGATCAAGAATATTCTCCTTTTAAAAAAAAGCTTGATGAGGAGCAATTGTGTTTATCTGCAGATATGAGCCACATTGTTGAAAGAAATGTTTGTTTCTCATTTCTCTCAATTATAGACACCATATCTATATATGATACCTTACAATGTCTCTTAACTATATACATCATATAAACAGTATGTTACTTTTATGTTAGAAAGGGTATGACTTGGTTTAATTCTCTGTTCCTGAAGTCCATAGAGAAACGTATTCAGTATATGCAAAACCTCAAGAAAGAAAAGAGGAAATTAAACAAACGCTTTGCAAGGCCCACCCCTCTGCCAGAACCAGGACTCCATGTAAGTAAACAGCTGTCACCAAAACTAACAGATTGTAGAAGGCTAGCGTCCTTTTTTAATTCATCTTCTACTCTTTTATTCCCCCATTTTCGGTGGAAAAAAATTATTATTTAAGTTCTGGGGAAAGTATCTGAAAATTCTCATGATCAACTTCTCATTCTTCAAATCTTTTTCTTAATTTTTTTTGCATTTGTCCACTAGTGATAATATGGCTTGATAAAAGTTTGATCTTTGAAACTGTCTTGTTCTGGATTCCAGTTCTTATTTTTCCATGCTAGCTGTCTAGCAAGGCCATTCACTTAAATTTTTGGGTTCTATTATTTAGAAAATAAATTACATAATCTCCTGGAAAGGGTTTAATTAGTCTAGGTCTTCATACTTGAAAAATCAGAAAACTAAATAGACCAGTTATAACTTATTCCATCTTGTCATTTCACTTGACAAGGATTTAAAGGTTCTAGCACTCAATTTACTATATTGTACATGAGTATTGTGGCTTGCATGTAGCATGAAATTATATTTCTTATAGACAAACATAAACCCTATGCTTCAATTTAAAATCCTTCAGGTACTTGAGGAGAACTACTACTTTCTCCCAATTTCAGACTTTTCTTCAGAGTTAAAAATCCAGTTAACTTACCTACTCCTCTTTCAGCCTGTTTATAAACCCTGCTTCTGTCTAGCAATCTGGAGAATCATTGCTGTATTTCATGAAGAAAGTTATTTTATCAGCTTTACTAAAGTATAATTTGCATCTAACAAAATGTTCATATTTTAAATGCATGCTATTTTGCTTCAATATAAATGCATTCAATAAACATTATGACAACTAAGATTATGTTCATATGCATCACTAATCAAATTTTCTTATGTTCTAATTTATGTATATGTGGGGTATATGTGTGTATGTATGTGTGTGGCTGGTCTTGGGCTTGAACTCAGGAACTGAGCTCTGTTCCTGGGCTTTTTTACTCAAGGCTAATGCTCTACCACTTGAGCCATGGATCTACGGTCAGCTTTTGGATAGCTAACTGGAGATGATTCCCATGAATTTTCCTGCCTGGGCTGCCTTTGAACCACAGTCAGATCTGCTCCTGAGTAGCTAGGATTACATGCATGACCCTAGCACTTGGCTCTATTTTTTGTTTAAATCAGTACCTTTTAAAATAGTAATAGTAAAATAGTAACATAGAAAAGTACCCTCTTTTTCCTGCTGCTGGTTTCTTTATTAGTGTCATCTTGTGTTGCTCTGATATAGTTGTCACAATTGATGAACTATTATTTCCTTTAAAGGTCACAGATTGTTTGTATTGTTTGTTTAACTTTGTTTCATGCATTTCTATGGGTTTTGACAAATACATGCAGGTGTTTATTCTTCCCTATAGCATCGTATACAGCAGTTTCACTGCACTAGAAATCTTCTCTCCACATGCCATTCATCATTTTGATTTCCTTCCTTCACACTCTGGCAGTGACCTTTTCCACATAGTCATATAGTAGAAATAATACAGGATGTGCCTTTCAAACTTGCTTCTTTTTACTTAACAATATGATTTCAGCCTCCTTGTTTTAAGCTAGCTTGATTAAACTAGTTCATTACATCACTGAAAAATAATCTACTTGATGGTTGTGACATTTATTTATATATTTTGGAACATATTGTTTGCATCCAATTTGGGTCAATCCTAAATGAAATTCCTATGCAAATTTATATGTTAGCCTGTTAATATTATAAGTTTTCAGTTCATTTAAATGAACATCTAGGGTACAATAAAATAAAATTTTATTTTATTTTATGCTATGGTTATGACGATGGTTTGTTCTATGAAAAAAGAAACTGCTAAACTTTTCAAAGTATTATTCTGCGTGGACACAGCAACAGTTGAGAACTCCTGATCATTCAAATTCTCAGCAACATTTGGTGGTATCAAAGTACTACATATTAGCCATTCCCATTAATATGTAGGGATATCACATTTTAGTTTTAATTTCAGTTCTCTGTTAACCTGCTATTGAACACCTTTTTATATATTTATCTTCCTTGTGTATAATTTCTTTGTTAAGGCCTAGTTTTTAATTCGGTTGTTTAAGTCTATGTTATTGTTGAGTTTTTAATTCTTAGGATATCTTAATAGTTCTTTATCTGAAATATGTTCTATAAATATTTTCTCCCAGATGGTGACTTTTGTTTAGCTTCTTTTATTTTATTTTTTTCTGCCAGTTCTGAAGCTTGAACTCAAGGTGTGAATGCTGTACCTGATCTGTTTTCTTACTAGTGTTCTACCACTTGAGCCACAGCTCCACTTTTGGCTTTTTGGTGGTTAATTGGACAAAAGAGTCTCACACAGGTCTTTCTGTTCCAGTTGGCTTCAGACCATAGTCCTTGGATCTCAGCCTCTGAGTAGCTAGGATTTCAGGGGTGAGCACCAATACCCAACTTTGTTTAGCTTCTTTTCCCAGTTTTCCTAGTATAAAACCTTTTAATTTTTGTGAAGTTCAACTTACAAGTTCAACTTTTATGAATTATGATCTCAGTTGTTCCTCTGAAAACTTATTTCCAACTCTAAGTTTACAGTGAATTTTTCCTGTATTATTTTCTACAAGTTTCACTGTTTGGTATTTTACATTTAGGTCTGTGATCTGTTTTGAGTTGTTAGTGAAAACTACAAGATCAATGTCTTTTTTTGTTTAAGATGTCAAGACTTAGTAATTTTGTTGGAAATATTTCTCTATTGCAATACCTCTGTAGTATCTAAGATCAAAAACTTATTTTTTCTTTTATTGTATTAACAATTCTCTCTGAATAATTAAGTTTACCGTAACTTCAAGAGTTATCAGTGTTCTACCAACTATTCTACTTCTTTTCCTTTACTGTATAAAACACATTATTTGCTGATATCAATCAATAACTTTCTGAGATTTTTATTGGGATTATATATATATTGGGATTATATATATATAGGGTCTGAAGACTACTCTGGAAAGAATAGACATCTTAACAATATTGCCTTCAAAAGATTAATGTATCATTTCTCCCATTTGGATCATCTTTAATTTTTATATCAGATTTGTGACTTTCTTTGCCCAGATATTATATATTGTTAGGTATGTATCTCAGTATTTCAATGTTAAACTTAAATCCTGCAATTTTAATGTAATTGCTTTTTTATTTCCAGGAGTTTTATTATTAGTATTGTTGACCGCAATGGTGATGATAACTTTTCCTACATAATCATATTATCTGTAAAGATTAATGTTCATTTTTTCCATTCCAATGTGAATATCTTTACTTTTTGTGTTTTATTGCATTATCCAGGATTTCCAGCACAGTGTTGGGTACACATCTCAGGATGTGAAATTCTTTGTTTCCAATCTTAGCTGAAAAACCTGTGTTTATACCATTAAGGAAAATGTTAGGTATAGATTTTCAGATGTTCTTCATTAAGCTGAGAATACTGTCTAGATGAAAACTTCATTGAGAATTACCACAAATGGAGGTTAAGTTTTGTTAAAGGATCATTTGGCATCTGTGAACAACATATTATTTTCTATATGATACATTACAATAATTGACAGTTGTTGAACCACCCTTACATACTTGTAATAAATCACAGGTTGCTTTGTACAGTACTTCTTTTTTTTTTTTTTTGTCAGTCATGGGGCCTGAACTCTGGGCCTGAGCACTGTCCCTCAGCTCTTCAGCTCAAGGCTAGCACTCTACCACTTGAGCCACATACCACTTCTGGCTTTTTCTGCTTATGTGGTGCTGAGGAATCGAACCCAGGGTCTCATGCATACAAGGCAAGCACTCTACCACTGAGCCACCTTCCCAGGCCTGTACAATACTTCTTATACATTTAGAACAGTTAATATTTATGGTCATGGGAGTTAGTAGTTTATTATTTATTATCTTTCTTTGGTCTGACTATGATAATAAAGACCCTACAGAGAATTAGGGGTTTTTTTGTTATTGTTGTTTTTATTATTGTTGTTGTTCCAAAGTAATTGTAGATATTGATAAAATTTTCATTGTAAATGTCTGATAAAATTTAGTAATATAATCATCTACATCTAATGCTTTGTGTTTTGGGAAAATTATTAATTATAGATTGAATTTCATGCAGAGACAGTGTCCTAATAAGATTTCCTTGCTCTTGTGTGGTACATTTTTTCTTTCCAATAATTAGTTTCATCTACATTATTAAGTTTATGGCCATAGAAATTTTTTCGGTATGATTTTTTTTTTTTGGTACTGAGGACTGAATTCAGAACATTGCACTTCTTAGGCAAGCACTTTGCCACCAAGCTATATCCCAGCCTCCATAGAATTATTTATACTATTTACCATCTTTTATGTCTTCTGAATAAGTAATGGTGAACTTTTATTTCTGATCTTAATAATTCACTATTTTTTATTTATTCTGGTCAAAGTTTTATCAATTTTATTGACATTTTTTCAAGAACCAGGTTTTGGTTGCATTGAGTTTTCCTCATTATTTTTTTCTCATTTTATGCCTTTTGCAAGCTATTTCCTTAGAAAAACCATCACTACCAATATCATCTCCTCATATTTTATTCCTTTAGTTTGATATCTGACTTCAAAGAAGTAAAACAACAATAAATTTCAGTGTTTGGGGATGTAAACAAACTTGATGTTGAGATATCAACAGAAATGTAAAAAACATGAAAAAATACTTTAATTTTGTGTGTTGAGTTGTATATAACATAGTATATTCCTGATTTTAAAATCAGGAAAATATAATTATATATATTCATGGATATTAAAATTAAATGTTTGTCAAGAATATTTGTTTTATCTCTTATTTTATGTATTTATAGTGTTCAATTTACTCTGAGTTATATGAATCTAATTTTTCTGGGGAAAAAAGCCTCACAAATGTGTAGAATGTTTCCTCAATCACAAAATACAGGACTTGGAAAAGAAAATCCTTATGACCCTCTGTTCAGAAATGACCTAGGCCTCTTTCAAAACTGATACCTTTGGTTTCTAGAAATTCTTCATGCTTGCAGGATTTGGTAACAGATTCACAGAGGATTGTTTTATATCAAATCTGACTCCAAAAATAAGTTTTTAAAACAATAATATCTATATCTGGCTTCTGTCTGACTATGAACATACTTTTAGAATTAGATTCCAGGTTATTGATGATTGTTAGATGCAATAATTTTTGTATGAAATAATCTTTATTTTAAGGAACTTGTGAGATTATGTATAATTTGCATAAGCTTTCTTATAATTGAATTTCTTTTTCTTTGTGTGTTTTCATTTTGTCTAGTGGACATCTTAAGAAACCAGGAATTGTACAGAAAAAAAAAAAACAAACCATGTTCCAGGCCAAAATCTGTGAATTTTCAACATCAAGCACAGCGTGTCATGATTTGATTTCATTTGAAAGATAAAGGCAGCCCCAGGCCATTGCACCAAAATAAACATGCATTTAACATCCAAAGGGCCAGTTTAATTTTTTATCACCTAATATAAATCACTACTGTTTATCTTCTGTGGTAGATTTGAGATGCCTTGCTTTTCAATAAATAAGAAGAGAGCATGGGCATTTGGAAATAACAAGCTCTCTCACTTCTACTGATCAATAATCTTATATACATGACACAAGGTACAGAAAACTAAGGGAATCACAGAAACAGCAGGGCAAAGGTTGAACCAATGCAACATTGACACTCACTTAACACTATGTTGGATATGAACCTTACAACTTTGGGAGGAGG